TACTTAGAGGCAAAAAGAACACCAAAGAATCAGATATCTATAGTGTTGGGATGTTAATGTGGGAAATATTTGCAGGTTGTCCACCATTTGATGATAGAGCTCACAATCATTGTTTGATTTTTGATATATGTGAAGGTTTACGACCACCAATATTATCTGAAATGCCTGATGATTATGTGCAAATTATGCAGAGATGTTGGGATGTGGATCCATCAAAAAGACCAACTAGTGGAGAGCTTCGGAAGTTTGCTGAAAACAAACTTGAAGAAATTTTTAAAAATAAAAGTTTAAAAAATAATAGTAACAATAATAATAGTTTAATAAAAAGATTATTCAAATTTCCTAAAGTCAAAACACATGAAATTGGTTTTAATAATGATGGAAACAGCAGCAGCAGCAGTGGTAATAGTGGTAGTAATTCACAACAAATACACAAATCACATCCAGATGTGTATCATACAAGCAGAATATTAGATGAAGAGATTGCTAAATCTAAAAGCTTGAAAAGTTATACAAGTAATGATAGTTCATTAAATAATATTGATTTTAGCTCTTTTCTCTAAAATATTAACAAAGGCAAATAAAAATTTCATTATTAATCAATTGGAAATTACTATCCATCAATTATTATTGCTGACAATATTAATTAATTAAACATTATATTATAGTAACAATAGTAAAAAAATTGATGAATTTAATCTCCACTATAAATTTATTATTTATCTTTTTATTTTATCTTTATTTTATTTCTTAAAGCTAAATTATAATAGTAAACTTTTTACAGTTTTTTTGATTCTTGTAAAATGGTAATATTGCGAGGTATCATTCCGGTTAATTAACAATCATGGCTTAACTTTTGGGCTACTCTTGTCAGTTAATTGCAATAATCCGGTGCTTATCAATTAAAATTAGCTTACAAATTTACTTTGGTTCCCTCTTTCTTTCATCCAGATGGATCTGTGAACGTACTATGTAAAAGATGGCCCTTTCGCAATGCCATAAAGTTCCTTTTATTCACTTGTGATTGATTTATTTCAGTTGTTTACATTTATTGGCTGATTGCAAACTCGCTTTGGTTTACTTGCAAAGTAGCTTACTCAATAACCATTTACAATCACAATAATATTACCAGTATTCCAGATTAACCTTTGGACGATGCTTCATTTAACCGACGTTAATTAGTCCAAACCTTTGCTTACTCAGTAAAAAAAATTACGTTACTAATCGTTGTTAACACTCACTAGTTAACCAACGTTAGTTCTAATCTTGCTTGTTTGCTCACTAAAGCAAATAAACGTGGATTTTTACCAAGGCACTAACTACACTTGTTGCTTTCATCAAACAAAGAAAATAAAGAAATGTTTTTATTTTTAAAAGTTAACGATTAATTTAATAAAAATCTTTATTTATTATTTTCCTCGGAGGAACCAAAGTCATGCTTTTCAAACAAATACCAGAAGTTATCCTTAATAAAATTTTCGTTGATCACTACAATAAGGTTAAGATAAAGATGGGATTATTATTGCATAGTAGCTTAATCAATCAAATATTGATATTATAAAACCTTCCATAATAAAAAGCTTTTGCATCATAATTTTAGCGTATAATTATCATGAAAATTAGTTGGCCCTGGAACATATACCTAGTCGATGATTTTATTATTAATACTAATTAATATAAGAAAGAAATGTTCGAGTTTAGTAGTAAATGAACTGAATTTGTATTCAGCAAAAGAAAAGCTTGGCTCCTTGGGAACAACTAATGAAACAAAGAGAGATTGGGATACTCAAAGAAAAATATAAGAAAAAGACTTTGGAATATACATTTATAAGTTTTTTATGTTTTATTATTAGTCTTTTAAAGTAATTTTACTTGCGTCATTTTTGACTTAATGGCAGTGAATTTGTCAAACAACATTGCCTTTAAATTGTTTATCCTCCTTTTCTTATTCACTTTAATTCTTTATTCTTGCCTCCTAGTTCTTCATCTTTGCCTTTTACTTCTTTGGTTGCCTTCAATTAGTCCTAAATTTCATATTCTATATTCATATTTTCTGATCCAATTGGCAGTTAAGCTTCTGAGAATGAAATTAAACTATTGTAAATGTCACCACTGATTTGTTAAATTGATTTTATATTCAGAAAGTATTTATTAAAATTAAACGTTGCCAATTTTTAAACACAGATCAAAGTTGGGGAAATAAAATTTATTTTGCTGATAGTAACGGACATTTTATCAATAGCTTACTGCGTATTAGAGAAAATGTAATTTATTAAATTTGGAAATTATGAAAAATCGAATTCTCCAGATTTGGTTAATTAAAAAAAAAATAAGTGTAAAGCATAACTTCTTGTGGGTCTAACAACAATGTATTATCACTCTTAATATATATCTCGTCAATTATTGGGAATTTTACTAGAAAAATATGAACCAACTTTTAGAAATCTTACTGCAAGATTACACAAATGCAAAAGAATAGTCTTGTTTAGGAATATTAATGAATAAGATTGCCCTCTTTTAAAGTAGAGAAACCCAATATAATGGTTGGTGACATTAGAAATTTTGATAATTTTGCAGATAAATGCTCGCTTTAGAGCTCAAACAGAATGTTATTTGAGGAGAATTTTCTTGCCAACAACCCCTCACGGACAATTAATTGAAGCAGAGAAAATACACAAATTTTTTTTTTACCATGGTTGTTGTATGATTTTATTCAATGAAAAATTTCAATAATAATTCTCCTCTTCTCTAACAACATATATGTAAAAAGCCCAACATAAGATAATGTCTATCCATCTCCAAAAATAATCATCACATTCCAAATAACCATAATGACAAAGTAAAAGATGTGTATACACTGCGATAATTATTGATGTAGATAATGACGTTATTATCTCATAAAGCCTTTTCCCCTAAATAATTGTCATATTGATTAATTAATTAATCAATAAATATATATATCATATCATGAATATTTAATTGTTACCAAATGTTCTTCTTCGATATCAAATTCATCATTTTTTTCTTGCATTTGAATAGAATATAATAACTTTGAAATTATCACAGTTCGATAAATTAATGATACAAACATGTTTAATGAAAATGCCTTTTCAATTACTGAAACATATTTAAAATTAAAAATAAGTTCTGAAAATTTTTTCAATAATATGTGAAAATTTAAACTGTTGAAAAAAAAATCCAAAAAGCAAAATTAATTGATCAATCATCTTATGACTCTCTTTAAAAAAATAATAATATTATTATTATTATTAACTTACTTGTAAAATAGATTAATAAAGTCCATCAAATCAAAATCAAGGTATATTAAAAGCGGAAGTGGTTTTGGATCTTCGAATATTGGCATTGTTGAATCTTTTCGATATCCTCCTTTTAATTTTGTACCATCATCCTTCCAGTTAAGTGATAGCGTGTATATACAATAAATAGTATAAGCAAACTATAATAGAAAAAAAAAATCTTAAAGAATAATTCATAATTCGCATTTATAGTATATTAAAAAAAAATAGATTGCTTGTCTTACCAAAAGTGAAATATCAACGATACTTCCTTTATTGAAAATCAAACAAACGATTGAAATTGTAATGGCTAAAGTCAAAACAGAACCAATAAGAGTTGCAGATAATATATCCATTCCTGAACCATCATATATATAATATAGAAAATAAATTGATATTATGTTGGTAATTATCGATATTATCAAAAAATAAATCTAAATAAATATAAATATTCAAAATTATAAATTATTCAAAAGATTATATAGTAATTATTAAATTTTCAAAGGAAAAATATCAACACCTTATTATGTATCAAATCTTCATCCTCGAGCGTTTCTTTGACATAATGTCTAATTTCTAAAATAAGCATGGAAGTAGCAATTGCTTCTACCAATGTAAAAATCGGCGCAGAACATGACAATAAACCTTGATAAACATTTAAAACAAGTGGTAATTTAAATTTAGGTCCATTGTATTGACTATTTTGTTGTTCTTCTATTAAGATGTAAGTTAATCTCACTGAATGTATCATAAAGAAAGGAATCAAAACTGGTTGAGCCCAGATTAGGATTTGTGTCTAAATATAATAGCCAACAATAAAAAAGATTATATATAATCATTAAATACATTACTAGTTTATTAATTTCTATATCTTAATTAGTAAATAAATTCGTTCAATAATATATAGGTCCAACAAAGTAATAGTCCAATAAAATTATAATTCAATCAACTCGTTCTCACTTTCCTTGCTCTAACCGTCTACCTACTATTATTACACGCTATTAAACAATATTATTATTATGTAATAAAATTTATTATTGCATACCATAGCCCAGCCGAAACCATGTTTTTTCTGCCACAAAATTTTAGCAAATCCCAAAACAATGTAATATAGAAATAATGCAAAGGACAATGCTAAACCAGTTGCTGGGCCACCAAGATCAAAGGATAAAGGTAAAAGTAATAAAAATAGTAAATGATTTGCATTGTTAAACATAGACAAGAAATTCATTTCTTTAATATTATATTTTAAAAAGAAACGAAGCAAAATATTTTACATAATAATAATAAATAACACGTATTGTTCCAAAAAACTACGATTTCATTGGCTGAACTTTGTGTAGATCAGTGTTAGATTGTTTAAGAATAAAAATTTCATCGAATCAATTAATGCTCTATAACATCTACTTCTTCCATATCAATGTCAACTGCAGATGACATTTCACTTCCAACATCCTCTGAAATAATAGATCCAATTTCAGACCACGCATCTTCTGATGGATTGGGTGATAAAAAACGAGAATTGTTTGGAAGATCAAGAATTTGTCCTTGTAATAAATGTTGTTGATTTTGTTGCTGTTGCCGAATGATTTCGTCGTTTATGGTAGAAGAATTTGATCTTATATTATTATTATTATTATTATTATTAACACCGTCATCATCATCATCACTATTATACGCACTATCAACAGATGATTGCAGGTGATGACTACTAATACTTGATAAACCTTGCGAGAGAATTGATTGTACAGCTGTGTCAGGATAAAAGCTACTTTCATTATATAAAGAATGTTGTTCAACATCTTTTGATGGAATTTCATCATTGCTGTCATTGTCTAAAATAGTGTTAGTAGCAGAAGTATTCTTTGTGTTTTTAGATAAATCAGAATCAGAGCTGGATTTTGAACTGATGGATTTTAAGCGTTGCTTCCTATTTTCAAGTTCTTGTTCTCTCTCTTTCAAAATTCGCTCCTCATTTTCTATTTCTTTACTTTTACGGTGTAATTCTTGTTCTAAAATATTAAGATACGATAAATTTTCTAAAAGTTGTTCTTCTTGTTCCTTTTAACGAGAAAAATATCATTAGGAATATTTTTTTGTTTAGAATTAATAAAATAAAATAACATATATATATATCTAGATATTATCATTAATTAAAAAAACCCTCACTTTTGAATCACTTGTGTCATTTATATCCTTTTCACTTTTACTTTTTTCATCTTTGCTTTTTCTTCTTCTTCTTCTTCTAAGACCTATCCTTTCTTCTGTAGCGTTTCTATCAGATAAATCAGAATCTGAATCTGAATCTTTTTCACTAGAGGAATCCTTTGAATCGTTTCTGTTGCCTCCAGCTATGGAATAAACTGGAATTGGCTCGTTTAAAATTTCATTATAAACTGTATAAGCTACAAAGCCAACAACTGCAACGCTAACTACTATAGACGCAACAAAATAAGGATGCATACTTTTTTACTTATAAAAAAAGCTTTATTAAAAAATAAGAGCTATTTTATTTTTATTATTACATAATTACTATTACTATTACTATTTAGATTGAGGGATCTTATAATAATCCCCCCAAAAATTCTATAACTCCTCATTTAGATAAATTTTTTTCCAATTGAACAATAAATCAATCATGATCGACTTTACAGTTATATCTGGCGCGAAAAACGAAGATGCTCTATGTTATTTATTAGAAATAGATAATGAAGTGAAAATACTACTTGACTGTGGTTGGAGCGATGAATTTAATTTAGAAGATTTGAAGCATTTGAGAAGGTGTATAACTTTTTCCAACAAAAATATACCGGCTGGCTCTGAATGGCAAACAAACCATTGGCGATGAGCAGTAATTATTTATAATGATTAGGCAAGATTTTGTTTACAAAAAGGTTGAAATTTATTAATGCTGTTCATTTGTTCATGCTTATGCTACATTAAAAATTTTTATAAATAAGAGTTGCTAGACAAGTTGATGCCTTGCTGCTTTCTCATCCTGATCTGCCTCATCTAGGTGCCTATCCATATGCATTTGGCTACTTTGGTCTTCATTGTCCCGTTTATGCAACGGTTCCTGTCGTTAATATGGGTAGAATGTGCATGCATGATATTTATCAATCAAAAGTTAACGAAACAGAGTTTGATACTTTTGCATTGGATAATATTGATTCAGCTTTTGAGAGAATTAATGTTTTAAAATATTCTCAACCAATGATTTTAGGAGGCAAGTAAACAATCAAATTCCCATTTTTTAAATTGATACAACTTGTTACCATTTCATAACATTTATTACATTTGACAGGCAAATGTAAGGGTATAACAATTACTGCCTATTCTGCTGGACATACTATTGGCGGAACAATCTGGAAGATTAAAAAAGATACTGAAGAGATTGTATATGCAGTTGACTATAATCACAAGAAAGAAAGGTTGTTAAATAATATATATATATATATACATACTAGAATAATATTATTATAATTTTTATTGAAAGATATAAAAAATATCTCATAAAATATAGACATCTAGATGGAACTGTTTTGCATAGCAATGGTGTTGTTTTAGACGCATTAAGTCGTCCTTCTTTAATGATAACCGATGCTTACAATTCACTTATAATCCATCCACCAAGGAAATCGCGTGATACTGCATTATTTGGTACTGAGGATTTTCTTTTTTTTTTTTTAATAGAACCAATTAATATTATTAAAACTTTTTTATTAATACAATAAATAAATAATAATTTATATTTAAGAAACAATAATGAGCACATTACAAAATAAAGGATCAGTATTATTACCAACTGATTCATCAGCACGCGTATTGGAGTTGGCTTATCTTTTAGATCAACATTGGGCTTTTCATCAGTTGTCATATCCTCTTATCTTGTTAACTCATCAAAGTTACCGTACAATCCAATACACTAAAAGTATGCTAGAATGGATGGGTGATGCTATCAAAAGACATTTTGACACAAAAAGAGAAAACCCTTTTGAATTTAGGTATTAACTTGGCTTATTTATATAAAAAAATTACATATTGGAAATTATAAAAAAGCTTCTTTTTTTTTTTTAAACAATTCATGTAGGTATCTAAAATTATGTCATAGATATAAAGATCTTGCAAAATATCCGGGACCAAAAGTGGTACTTGCAAGTAACGTTAGTTTAGAAACAGGGTTTTCCCGTGAATTTTTATTCGAAATATCAAAATCAGATATAAATGCTCTTATTCTGACTGATCGTGGACCACCAAATTCTTTGGCAAGAAAGTTATATCATGAATGGGATCGTAAAAGTCAAACAAGTCAAGGAGTTGTCAAACCAGCAGCTGCTTTGGATTTAACTATTAACCTGATGGTAAATTTAATTTATTATTTATTGTCCAATGGACTGTTTTAGAATTTTTGTATAATGTATCGTTTATATAATTTATTAAATAATCACACATGAAAACATATATATCTATTTATTTATTATTATTAAGATTAATAAAAAAGTTCCTTTGGAAGGCGCCGAGCTTTTAGAATATAAAGCAGAACAACGCAAGAAGCAGGAAAGAGAGGCGGCACAGGCAGCGCTTATAGCCAAATCTTTGTCAATAATTGAAGAAGATGAGACAGATGATGAAGAGTCGGAAGCAGGAGATACTGACATGGAGGAATTATTAGCAAAACAATTTGACCTTTATGTGCGCGATGCAACAAAATATGGAGGTTTTTTTAAACAAACACAAAGTTATTTGATGTATCCATTTGTTGAAAAAAGGAAAAGATATGATGACTATGGTGAGATTATTCCATCTGATATGTTTAAAAGAGTTGGTGGATCAATTGGTACCGAGGGAATTGGTATTGAGCCAATTGGTGATAGAGATGATATGGGTGGTGGGGATAAAGAGGAGGTAGTTATATATATGTTATATATATATTTTTTAGTCTCACAAAAGCAATTTTAAACTTTAATTAATATTATATATTTATCTATTATCGTGCAAGTTTGATAAGGACAATAATAATTCTTCTTTGGATTCCAATGTTCCAACCAAATATGTATTGTATGATGAGGATGTTACTTTCAAATGTCAAATACGATTTATAGATTTGGAGGGAACTAATGATGGAAGGTCATTGAAAACCATAGTACCACAAGTACAACCTAGAAAATTGGTAACAAATATATTTTGTTTAATTCCTTGTTCTATTTTACATAAACAGTTATGATTACTAATATAAATAAATTTATATGTATACACACATACATTTATAGATTGTTGTACATGCATCACAAGAAGCCACGAAAGATTTTGCTCAAAGCTGTTTAGCCCTGGAATCAATGACCAAAGACATTTATACTCCAGATGTTGGAGAAACTTTGAATGTTTCGGCTGCAATAAATTTTTATCAAGTCAAATTGACTGATTCATTAATCAGTTCATTGAATTTTTCAAAGGTAAAAATAAATCCATATATAATTAGTTATAAATTTTTTCCCGGTAAACTTTTAATAAAATATTAATATTATTTATATTATTCATTAGCTTGAGGATTATGATATAGCATTCATAACAGGAAAAATTTCATTTCCACAAGACTATTCCCTCCCTATATTAGATGCTATACCAATAGAAGAAAACACTAGTAATAATAATCCCATATTTGTAGGTGAGGTGAAATTATCAGAATTAAAACGTTTATTACAATCTGAAGGTATCACAGCAGAATTTAAAGGTGAAGGTGTGTTAGTTTGTAATGAAAAAGTTGCCATTAAAAAGGTCAGAATTAATAATTATCTGTGTAAATAGATAATGGTTCTTTTTTTTAAAAAAAAAATCCCTTTATTAAGTACTCAATTTTTTTTATGTTGAATTGATTATATAGACTTCAAAAGGTCAATTAATTCTTGAAGGTTCATTATCAGAAGATTATTACAAAATTAGAACCATAATATATGCACAACATGCTTTATTATAAAAACATATATTTTACACTGATACAAAATTTTGAATATAAAATATACTCTCAATCAAACGGCAAGGAAGATCCACGACCTACATCTATTCCAGATGAATACATGGATATCATAATAAAATACCAGAATATCAAAAAAAATAAAATAAAAAAAATAATTCAATATTTTGTTGAGATTCTACTTGTGAATTGGGTTATATGTAAAACCGTGTTTATGTACCTTTGTACAGTATTGCTTTTTTTCCCTTTTAAAAAAACAGATATAGTAGTATGTAAATTATCATTTGCTTTTAATAATTTATTTTTCCAATGCTATTAAAATTATAGATTTAAATGTTCTGATTCTTATTATTAATATAATCCATTATACTTTTAAAATCATCTTTGGATATAATAACATTATCCTCAACAGTATTTATTTTGATTTTAGACCAATCCAAGCCATTTTTTTGATTGTTAGTTATAGCATTAGTCGAAGATTCTCCAATCAAATCATCTTCAGTCAATTTTTTATTATTGACATTTTTCTTATACTTCTTATGTCTGTCTGGTTCAACTATGTTTAAATAATGTATCTTATAGCATAATTGATCATCTTTTTTTAAAAATCCATATTCATTATTTACATCTTTAAGTCTAATTTTATCAACAGTATAATCAGTTAACCTTCTGAACTCATTATCAGTGTTAGTACAGCCGGTTATAACACATGGACCACGATTTTTTGGAGGCATCTTTGATTTTAATGAATTTGTTCAATTTAGTTTTAATATTAAGGAGAGTATTTGTAGATTTTCATTAGTAAATGTGGATTTTACCTAATTAATATCAAGTAAAATTTGACTCAAAAAACTCGGCTATTACTATCGATTTGGATTGGTGTTGGAAATTTTGTCCAATTGAACAAATACCCTTGGATGAGAAAGGATCTGTGCCTCATGGAGCTTATAACCACTATTTTTGTCACGTGATTTAAAGAACAGAAGATCGAACATTTCAAAAAATGAATACTTGTGACGAAGAGATTTTTTCAAAAATATTGATTGATTGTTGAGTTCTGCTCCATTTTAGTGTGTACATGGATTTATTAGATTTCAGTGTGCTTGGTATAAAGCACATTCAATGCTAGTTGCATCGATGAAGATGTAAATTGGATTTTAATATATTCTTCAAAAAATCACAAAAATACATGTAATTAAAAGTGGCTATACTTTATTAATTAATTAACCAAAATTTTACAATAAAAAAGAAAATTTTACAGAAAATGATATGTATATACCAGATGGTTGTTACGTTCTTATTAATAAAATTTCTCACCCGATAAAATCGCACGCATAGTTAAAATTAATATTAAGCGTAAACACACACCATTCCGTTGTAACTTATAATGACAGATGAAAAGTCCTGCAGGCTCGGCTTTATGGATTTTTTCCATTTTCAATTTTTTTAATATTTAAATTGTTTTTTTCCATTTCAATTACTTTCTCACACCTTATTTCATATTAATATATAAATATTGTGTGATAAACTTGAACTCGCATTTTCTTTAGGATCATGTGATTCAAAAACAAACATTAATTTTGTGATCGTCATCATGTGATAGATAGGTATATACATCTTTTTTTTTTTAAATCATGCGAAACAATTTTTTCTCAAGTTTTTATTATATCAATAAAGAGAATTTCAGGTTGGATTAACCGACCATTCTAAGAAGATTGAAATTAATTTGTCAAAAGAAATTTTGAATTTTCATAAAAGAGAACGAAATGGTACATAATTATCAGAAAAAGATTGATGAACTTTTGAAAAAAGCTCGTTCACAAGGTATATATATTTAAATAGTTTTAAAAATAATTTATAAACGAGATTTAGATTTGGTGCTTTAAAAGTTTGATTTAGATAAATTGTTGTTAAAACAAATAGATTCAAGCAATAGTGTTAAAACAAGTATTGTTACTGGTAAATTGTCACCAGAAAAATCACAACAACTGTTAGAAGATGCGTGGTCCGGTAATTCAAAAGTTGGTGTTGGTAAGAAAAGGTATTTTAATAACACTTCTGAGGAAATTAGAAATAATAATAAAAATATTTCTAACATCTGAATATATTTATTTATTAGGAAACGGATATAATTTAGTTGTCAATTCAAGAAAAAGAAAGAGTACAAAAATCAGCAAAATACATAAAATTTTAAAACCATCACGTATTGTAAGTGGGATTTTATTATAATTTATTGATTTGAACGATCTAAATAGACCTAAATAAAAAATATATTATAAACACGTAGAATAAAAAAAGAATACTATTTCCCAAAGGAAGCAATACACCACCTAAATCACCAGAATATTATTCGTCTTCTTCAGATTCAAGTTCAGACTCTAGTCCACTCAAAAAATTTAACATCACACCGATTACTCATTATTTTCCACATAAACCAGTCAACAACAATCAATCTCACTTTTATCAATATAATAATCACCGTGAATCTGATAATAATTATAATTATAACGACAATCACAGTGACCTTGATGTAAATGCGAGTAATAATAGCATTAGTACGAGAGCTTTAAATACTAGAAAAAAATTGAGGAGTCGAGAATTCACACCTGAAAAAATTTCAAGGAACCAAGAAGAGACACCTACAAATGCAAATATACTAGAAAACTATTTTCATTCTGAAGGTAAACACCAAAAGGCGAATAGATCAATTAGAACCTTCACCGAAGATAATATAGATGATGCTTCTCCAGATACTAAAAGTATTTTAACATTAGCGAAAAATTGCAATTCGGATGATGGATTTAATTTACTATTACAAAATTATCAAATGGAAAATGTAAGTTTTTAATTTTTAAAAAAATTTATTTATTTTTTTAATGATTTAATTTCTAATAATAATAAATAATAATAAAAATTATTTATTACTATTTTATTTTGCAGCCATTTCTTTAAATTTTTTATTTTCCCAACAGATAAAAATTCTTTTATTTAAAATCAATTTTCTCATTAAATGTTAAGAAGAATTTTGATTTTTATAAATAAACACAAATAAAATGCTATTTCAGCCATTATTAATTTAACCATAAAGATGATAAATCACTGGTTGATTTATTTAATATGTTCTGTTGATCACTTGACCCTGGCTTCTAAGACTCAAACTTTAGAAGATTTAAAAATAATTTAACTGGTCTTAGAACTAACATGCTGTTAAATCTGAACATTTAGAAAAATGTAAACTGATGATTATCATGATTGCCCATTCAATAAAGGAAACATCCACATCCACTGATTCAATAATAAATCATATGGCAACTACTTTAATAAATACAGAAAATGTCTTAGCAATAAATAATAATAATTTTAGTATATGTCAAACTGGAGTATTGGGATCCTAATAGGATTATTTCAGAGCTTGGAAAGCAAATGGAAATTACCTAAATTCATCCAATTCTTTGACAAAGCATACATCATAAAAGGTTCAAAAACACAAAATTGATTGAAAACAATGATAATCATTTAAAAGATAAATTTAAAACCAAATATAATATTAGCTCCAATCTCCTTGGGCAATAAAATTAATTGTTAATGACAATAATATTAAAATAAAAATATCGCCAACGTTAACATGTGAGCTTGAATAAACATGTTTACAAAAATATTTAATAATTTATACAAATTTGTTTGAAAAATATCCAATTTTAAATTATTTAATTGATCTGAATGAAATATTAATATGCGGCCACTCCTATCATATTAGTTGCCTAGATATTTATTGTAAAAATTATTATCCAATTAAGAAAAATGAATTAGCCAGTTCGTATAATGAAAGATTATTGAAGTTTCGTAAAAAAATAATACGATTTAAATGTGCAACAGATTAAAACAAGGATAAGGTACTTTCATAGGCGTGTAAATGGCTTGCAGTTTATAAAATCGGGGGGGGGGGGGGGAATAATTGTATTAGTATTTTCTCTTGCTCAAATCTTTTCCTCTCTCTACTTTGGATATCATTAAATTGGCCTTTTGCAGTTTAATCTCGCATGGTCATAATATTGTTATTAATTGAAATTTTCATTGTATATAATTAACAAATACATTCTCCGGTTAAATATTTGCAACAACCTCATTGGCTCCTTCTATTTTCGATTAAATATTCTATATAAACAGCTTTTTCCAAAAATCAATGTTTCAAACAACTACAGTGGATAAAAATCTAAAGAATAACGATGTAATAATAATAAATAAATTAGAATTGTTATAATGTATATAATTATTTTGGGTATTCCAAGTTTGATGGTTTATTTTAATAAAGCAGGGTTATGTAGGGATGGGAACGGTTCCTGTCACGCGACGTGACGAATAATATTTCCATAATTGATCCGTGACGATTAATATACTAAATTACAGGTGACATTTAGATTGCCAAAACAAGACAAATTAATTGTCACCTATAATTTAGTATATTAATCGTCACGGATCAATTATTGAAATATTATTCGTCGCGGCGTGTGACAGGAACCGTTCCCATCCCTAGGGTTATGTGGATGCATTAATAGGATGATCTTTTATTAAAATCCTTATTTTAATTTAATAATCATTAGAATATTTCTTCGGTCATGTAAAAAACATCTTTTCTAAACGACCAAAGCTTTGCAATGCTTTCCTATTCATTGTAATTTTTTATTTCCCGTGCAGAATTGCAGACTCAGGAAAATAAAATTTTCAATATTTTAAAAGGAAACCATGATGATAAAACCATAACGGTTATAGATCTTTAGACTTTCTACAGTGACAAGCATTTATTATTATCAGATAAGATAATTTATATAATTTAATGTAATTTATTTATTTATAAATAATTAAACATATATGAAAATAAGAAATAAAAATAATAAAAAATAATAAATCAATACAAGCCCAAATAGAAATCCCTTTATCCATTCAGTTTTTATTGTTTAACAGTTGATGGAGTAGGAATATGATGTAATTTAATTGTTGATCTCTGTTGTGATGTTGTTGATCAACGAAATTATTCTGATGTTGACCAACGAAATTATTTTGATTTTGATAAACAAAAGAATTATTCGGATGATTAATTCTCATCATCATAGCATTAGTCGCATTAAATGAATTCTGGTCGGCAAGGTTATTGATGATATCTGTTGGAATAGCAGTGTTCTGGTCAGCAAGCCCATTGTTATTGTTAATAATGCTAGTTGAACCATCAAAAGTGTTATCTTTAACGAAACCATTGTTACTGGCAATATCAGTTGAGGTAAGAGGGTTTTGGTCAACGAAATTATTTTGATGAATGAAGTTACCATCTCCAGAATTTTCATTAACGAAATTGTCATGAACTAAGTTAAAATGAAAGTGATTGTTGTCGCCATCGTTTTGATAAGCGGAGATGTTATTGTCTTCAGGAGTTTGAAAGATGGAGTTACTATGAAATAAGTTTTGTTGAACGTTTTGATAATCGAAATCATTGTCTCCATGGGTTTGAGGAACGTGGGATGGACTTGTTTGTCCGTCAAAAAAAAGAAGAGAATTTAGATTAACAAGATTTTGATTATTATTATTTCCATACATTTCTAATATATAATCTAATGTATTTATCAAAAAAAAATTTTTGATATTTATATGTTTATAAAATCTAATGTATTTGTCAAATTGGTTTTGTTTTTATATTTGTTTAGTTAATTTTTTAAAAATTTTTTTTTTGATTCAAACTTTTAAAAAATCGATTAAAAAAATCGATATATAATTTTAAATGTTTATAAAAAAAAATTTTCGATATTTATGTTTATAAAATCTAATGTATTTGTCAAATTGGTTTTGTTTTTATAATTATAATTATTTGTTTAGTTAATTTTTTAAAAAATTTTTTTTTTGATTCAAACTTTTAAAATCATTAAAAAATCAAAAAAGAAATCCATATTTATATAATTTTTTTTAAAAAAATTGTTACCACAAATTAATAATTCTAGAATTCAATTTTTCGTCCTTGTCTTGTTTTGTCAATATTATTTTTTTTATTAAAAAACATACACAACCGTACAACAAAGAATATGAAAGAATATGAAATATTACTTTTTTTTTTTTAAAAGTTTCAAATGTTTCATTTTTGACCGTTTTGTACAACCAAATAATATACTTTTCCTCACATGGTTAAAATTTTCTGATCGTTTTAGTTAAATCAAAATTTAATGCCCACATCATGCCTATTAAAAAAGATAAAGATAGAGTGAGAAAAATCGTTTTCTATATCAAAGACTATTTTGGTTTTGATTAAAAAAAAACTGGACTTTAAAAGATTAAATGGAAATTTCATTTGATTGTTTGACAGCAAGCCCATCATCACCACGCTTTATCTTGAATTACACCCACTTTTTAATTTCAATCAATTAATTGATTGCGCAAAAAACAATTATTCTGTTATCTTCTCATTCCTTTATCTTGCCGATTCCACCATACTTCGATTTCATATTTTATACAATTAATAATAATGATGATAATGTGTGTTAACAGATATAAACTCAAACTAAATAATTATTTTATATGACTTCCTTTTTGTTTTTATTGGACAAAAATTATGTTAATACTTTTCCCGATATCTCCTGATATAAAATTCTATGCACTTTTTGTTGTGCCATCAATTCCATATGCATGCTCTCGCAATACGAGTAGTAACTGAATTATTTTAAAAATCAATCAAATATTAACAATAATATGCTATATATTAGTTAAATAGCATCTCTGACATTGCTTGATCTTGGGTAAACTTCTAGAAAAGTTAAAAATGCACATATTATATAATTTTGTAAATTATATGATCAATTAATAAAGCTCCCGCCATGTTTTTCTTGTTTTTCTTTTCCTTTTTTTATTCAATGAAAAGATCTGCACAGAATTTAGCCAATTAGAATTTCTTTTCATAACGTCGATCATTACAGGGTATTATCCCTGGTTGAATTTAGCCAATCAGAATTTCTTCTAGAATTTTTCATACCATCGATCATTACGGTATTTAGTATTTCCATCTATGGAAATATCCCTGACTGTATTTTAATAAAGCAGATGATCTTTTAATTTATTTTAATTTAATAATCATTAGAGTATTTCTTCAGTCATATAAAAAAAACATCTTTTCTAAACGACCAAAGCTTTGCAATGCTTTCCTATTCATTGTAATTTTTTGTTTCCCGTGCAGAATTGCAGACTCAGGAAAATAAAAATTTCAAGGAAACCATGATGATAAAACCATAACGGTTATAGATCTTTAGACTTTCTACAGTGGCATGCATTTATTATTATCAGATAAGTTAATTTATATAATTTACTGTAATTTATTTATTCTTTATAAATAATTAAACATATATGAAAATAAGAAATAAAAATAATAATAACAATAAAAAATAATAAATTAATACAAACCCAAATAGAAATCCCTTTATATATATTTTATTGCCAATAATTTTTTTAATCCGCATTTCAGTTTTTATTATTATTGTTTAACAGTTGATGGAGTAGGAATATGATGTAATTTAATTGTTGATCTCTGTTGTGATGTTGATCAACGAAATTATTTTGATTTTGATAAACAAAAGAATTATCCGGATGATCAATTCTCATCATCATAGCATTAGTCGCATTAAATGAATTCTGCTCGGCAAGGTTATTGATGATATCTGTTGGAATAGCAGTGTTCTGGTCAGCAAGCCCATTGTTATTGTTAATAATGCTAGTTGAACCATCAAAAGTGTTATCTTTAACGAAACCATTGTTACTGGCAATATCAGTTGAGGTAAGAGGGTTTTGGTCAACGAAATTATTTTGATGAATGAAGTTACCATCTCCAGAATTTTCATTAACGAAATTGTCATGAACTAAGTTAAAATGAAAGTGATTGTTGTCGCCATCGTTTTGATAAGCGGAGATGTTATTGTCTTCAGGAGTTTGAAAGATGGAGTTACTATGAAATAAGTTTTGTTGAACGTTTTGATAATCGAAATCATTGTCTCCGCGGGTTTGAGGAACGTGGGATGGACTTGTTTGTCCGTCAAAAAAAAGAGGAGAATTTAGATTAACAAGATTTTGATTATTATTATTTCCATACATTCCTAATATATAATCTAATGTATTTATTTTATCAAATTGGTTTTATTTATAAATGTTTTTATTATAATAATTATTTGTTTAGTTAATTTTTTAAAAAAAATTTTTTTTTGATTCAAACTTTTAAAAAAACGATTAAAAAAAATCGATATATAATTTTAAATGTTTATAAAAAAAAAAATTCGATATTTATATGTTTATAAAATCTAATGTATTTGTCAAATTGGTTTTGTTTTTATTATTATAATTATTTGTTTAGTTAATTTTTTTAAAAAAATTTTTCTTTGATTCAAACTTTTCAAACTTTTAAAAAATCATTAAAAAATCAAAAAAGAAATCCATATTTATATACATTTTTCAAAAAAAAATTTTAAAATATGTTTTATTATATATTATAAACATATTTGTATAAACATATTTTTTTTTTATAAAAAAAATTATTCCGATACAACCGTACAACAAATAATATGTAATATGAACCTTTTGGAACTTTTAGACCAAAAAGAGTAGTTAACTTTAAGTATCATTTCAGATTATTTTTGACCTTTTTGACCGTTTTGTACAACAAAATAGATTTTTTTGGGTAAATCAAAAAATATAACAATTTATGTTTAGTTAAAGGAAAATTGCGGCGAGACAAAAATAAAGAACTTTCCACATCACGCCTATTAAAAAAGATAAAGATAGAGTGAGAAAAAGCATTTTCCATATCAAAGGCTATTTTGGTTTTGATTAAAAAAAAAACTGGACTTTAAAAGATTAAGATGGAAATTTCATTTGATTGTTTGACAGCAAGCCCATCATCACACGCTTTATCTTGAATTACACCCACTTTTAATTTCAATCAATTGATTGTGCAAAAAACAATTATTCTGTTATCTTCTCATTCCGATTCCACCATACTTCGATTTCATACAATTAATAATAATAATGATAATGTGTGTTAACAGATATAAACTCAAACTAAATAATTATTTTATATGACTTCCTTTTTGTTTTTATTGGACAAAAATTATGTTGATACTTTTCCCGATATCTTCTGATATAAAATTCTATGTACTTTTTGTTGTGTACATCAATTCCATATGCATGCTCTCGCAATACGAGTAGTAACTGAATTATTTAAAAAATCAATCAAATATTAATATTACATACAATACAATTTAAATCCGTCACATTTAGCCAGACATGTTTGTTGATCTTGCTTGGGGTTCTTTCATATATATATATATATATATACCTTACTATAAATATAAAAAATACAACCTCTAAAGTTCAATATAAAAAAAACTTTTTTTAATAAGATTGATTACTATCATCAAGCAAGGTACAATGTTGATTCAGTTACTACTCAGAAATGATAATCTAAAAGTTTCACCGCATATAAGATAAAAATCTTTACCTCGAAAATTGCCCGCAATAGAAGGTTCTAACGACCTTTGTGGTATAAGTAAAAATGCGTCTCATGTTTAAATCTAAAATTTTAGAGAATTTGGTAAATTAATTAACGAGGAGAATAAAATATAGAAAAGTTTATGAAACAATTCAACCTCAAACTGCTCACTAATTAATACATAAAAGACATCAAAAAATATATAAACTATTTTAAATTAATATTTTATTAAAAAATCAATATCTTGTCAGGTTTCCTCTACTTTTTAAAACAACATCAACCCTTCATGGCATTAATATCTATTAATTTTTAAATCTAAATCTTCTTTTTAAATCCTGCAAAAATTTTAAGATCTGGACTTTGGGCAGGCCAAGCCGGGAGAGAACGTTATTATCTTCTTTCCATACGCCTTGCTACAGTTGCTTTATGACATGATTATCTTCTTAATGCATCATCACCATTCTCACTTAATTCATTAATAAAAGGCAGCTTCGCGATTGCAATTTAAAGTTTTACAATTTTTTTTTAATGATTTTCAAATTCAATCCGTTTAGTATTTTTGTCAAATAAATTGAGAAATAATATTGTAAATTCCGCAATAGCTAGATTCAAACACGAGATACCTTTTTTACTTATACCACAAAGTCGTTGGAACTTGCTATTGTGGACAATTTTCGAGTCAAATATTTTCCAGAGAATTCTTTTTAAAGTTTGTAAAACAACAATGTTGCGGCGAAACTTCAACTATTTGACATTTTTACTTAATAAGCAAGTGTGATTGGGATAATAGAATTTTTAGTTTTTGTCATGACAATTCTATTAATCAAATTAAAGTTATATATAAATTCATAAAAACTTCTAATTCTTTTTTTTTAAGATTAAAACTATTGGATGCCAGATTCCAAAAATCTAGTGGTGGTGGTGGTTAAATAATCTATTAACAATTTGACCACTTTATGGGCACAATACTACTGAAAAATATCATCCAAGCAAGCAATCTAGAAAGGATAAAAAAAAAAGAATATGCACCTCAAAAGATGTTTGTTTCTGGCCAAATTTGTGATTTTATCTAGTGTAAATCATGCAAAAAGCCATGTTGTGTTTTTAGCAAAAATGCTCTGATTTATCAAGTTTATCTGTATATATGTAATATATATTACAGACTTTTTGACTATGGTAGTTGCTTTTATTAATCAAAAAACATTTTATTTTAACAGATTTACTTCTTTTCTTTTTCTCTTATCTATATAGATTTTGATTCTTCTTTTACTTTACAATAATGCCTCAATTAAATTCACCTGAACCCTATCATCGTCCTGTTCAAAAAGTAATAATAATAACATGGATAATAATAATTATTCTGATTTTGGTACTAGCCCTGATAATAATAATAATACTAGTGAAAAAATCAACAATAACACAGCAATAATAACAATAATAATAATGTCAAGGCTAAAGAGATAATCACAGCAACATAAAAAAAGTCTATTTTATTTAGTGCTACATGTAAAACAAATAATAGGCATTTGAATTTATATCAGTTAAATTAAATAATGTCTCTATTAATAATATTTTGCAAGTAAGAATTAATTAATTAATGATATCTTTATTATTGTCATTGTTGTTGTTATTTTTTTCTAAAGAAAGAGATTGATCATGACCCCATACATTAACAGTTTTATCAAATCCACAAGTTATCAATAATTGTCTTTCATCATCATACCATAATCCTCTAACCAAATTCTTATGACCATGTAATTTCACCACAACTTTATTTGTCACTACATCAAAAATTCTGATAATAGAATCAACACCATAAGCGAAAAAATATTTACCACTTGGATGCCAACAATGATTGGGGTTTGTGAATTTTCTGTTGTCAGATATGTCATCATAATAGTTATAAATTTGTTGTGCAGAATGTGTACGAAACAACATGATTTTTCCATTCTCATCATCTGTTGATACCAAAAGATATTTTCCATCATTATTAGGACTTGGAGAAATGTCCATCGGAGTAAAGGAAACCCAATCATCACCATTAGCATTCATGTTATATTTTTTATCTTCAAAATTATTCAACAAGTTAATGTAGTGAAGGTAATTATCATTGCGTACACCAACTATAATGTATTGATTATCTGGTAGAAAACAAAATGATTCTACATTACCACCGAATAATATTGAATGAACTTTTATATATTGTGGTGGAAAATCTGTTGTTGTGCTATTATTGTTATTATTATTATTGTTGTTATTATCGATGGTTTTGGTTTTATAAATGTTTATTGTATGATCATATGATGCCGTTACAATGAAATTTCCATCTGGTGAGAATTTTGCTTTAATAACATACTTCTTGTGATCTTTAAATGGTTGTATAATCTCCATATTTGTAACATCAATCAAAGCACATGTTGAATCAATTGATGAAGTTAACATTAAATTTTTATAAATTGGATGAAAGTCAATAGATAACACACCAGCTTTATGAAACTCAAAAATATTAAAAGTTTCCCCAGTTAATAGTGAGGTAAATTTGACAGATTTATCTGCTGAACCTGTTACAATCGTTGGTATTTGAGTGATTTGATATTCTCCATCATCAACCAATAACCTTTTTACATCAATATTTTGTGTTTTAACATTAAGTAAATTTGAATTGTGAATTTCAGAAAATGTTTTATATAAATAACAAGGCAGTAACTCTTCTTGATTTCCTGGAGTAATTAAATCATCATCGATTTTCCTAATTGTGTGTAAAAATAAATATATACAATGTTTTTATTTTCTTGAAAAAAATTTACCATTTTTCTGTTTTATATATATAAATATATATAATATACCTTTCAAAGTACAAATTATTAAAATCCTTTTGTAATTCAGTCACTAGATAATCTTGAATTATTGAAGTTAAAGGTTTAAAAATTAATGATTGTGAAGAGGAGAGAGTTGATTGATTATTGTTGTTGTTGTTGTTGTTATTAAATAATTCAATTGTTTCTTTTGCTTCTTTGTGAAAAGCTTCTAAAGTTTCGTTATAGTTATTTGCTTCCAAAAACTGTAGAACCAAAGCATGTGTAAAAGAAATATTATTATATGGAGTCATGAAGATTATAGGGTAAGTATATATATATATAAATAAAATATTCCAAATCGAAATGAATCAAATGAGGTGACCAAGGAATGGGGAGCCCCTGGTTAATAAAAATTTTCAATTTTATATGACCGCCTTGTGACTTCGTTCACAAGCAGCAGATTCAAATTCTTTGTAATAAACATTACAATCTGCTGGTTTTTAAGCATATTTATTATACATGTGGGATATTTGCAATTGTCACGAGACAGTCCACTAATCATACTATTCTGGGGCCAAGGTAAACTCAATAACCGGTCATTTATAACCGTTACTGTTTAAAGATACCGGCTGCAACTTTTGATGGTGATTGCAACTAGAGGCATGCATGGACCAATTTGCACACAAAAAATTTCAATCCAAACCCGTAAAATTTTTTTGGAATTACAAGAAAAAAAAATTTACAAGAATACTATCTAACCACAAAACTTATAATATCTATCAAAAACTTTAGCATATATTAACCGAACATCACTTTTTCCACCAATTTTATCTTTACATAATAATTCTCCAGCCAGTAGTTTTGATAATATTTATATATAATATATATATACAAATCACTCCCATTATAATGACAGCTTATTATAATGAAAATCTTGTTTTTAAAAATCAAAATTATGAATGAAATCATTATTTATTCCATTATAATGACACCCACCATAATGACATGTCAATATAATGGGAGATATTATTGGTAAAGCTGGTATGAGATGTTTTCACATGACTTGTGATAAATTCTATTGTCTCCAACTGTCAATTTGGATAAATTATGGACTTGGTGTCAAGGAAAAATTATAATAAATTTTTACCAGTGATTGATACCCTCTAAAACCAAATAAGTTTGTTTGTGTATTTATTATATTTATATTGATTAATATGGTAAAGTTTTGGGTAAAGGTTATTTACCAATCAACCAGTTATTATTAAAACACGTTATGTTTCAGAAGAAAAAATAAAAAAGCGGCAGCGTAATAGAAAATTAACATTTTTATTACTCACACAAAAATATTATGATGATGTCGTTTTTATTCTTATTCGCTTTTTGAATTACTGTTCTATATTTTAATTTCACTACATCCCTCCTATTTGCTGTTGTTTATCGATGTGTTATATAATCTATTTGATATAATTGGTTCATTAATGAACTTTTATGTGGGCCAAGACAATAAAATTTACTTACTCGTTGATCAGAATTGGTAAATGAACATTTTGGGCTCAATCATAACTATAATGAACAGTAGCAATATTGTGTTTTACCTTGGGGATAATTTTGGACAACTAGTTTTTTTTAAATTTTTTGAGTAATTCTTTGGCTTCTTCCTCTTGGTGAGCATTGTAATGTAAACCATTTCGAAAATGCTGACAAGTATCACACAGGTCAGTCCTTCTGGACTCATAATTTGAATCTGGGAAGTTAATTGGTGAGATTAATCCGATTTCCGAGGTAATTATCCAATTAATTACTTACAATAATTCTAAATTAATAAATTGTTGATTACATTTAAAGGACCCATCTCTTTATATTGTTGTCTGTAACAACAAAAGGCTGCAAGTTTTATAAAATTAATAACATCTACATTCATATTTTATTATTATTATCTTCCGATGGATTCGTAAATATCTGTTTACTAACAAAAACTCATTCTCTTCCATGATTAAATAAACTGAATCAAAGATAGATTATTCAAAAAAATTTATCATATGTATCAAAGTCTAAAACGAATCAACTAAAAAAAGAAAAGAATTCAAGGAAAAATTCAGTTGAAACAATTTATTTAAACGTCATGTAAAAGAGGAGGCTTTAAAAGGCAGGATCCTCAAAAACTGTTAGGTTCTTTATTATTATCCATTTTATTTATTAATTTTTAATTTAATGATAATCAATCAACTAAAAAAAGCCCATCAAATAAAGGCAAGGAGAAGGTCTGCGATCAATCAACAACACTTTTCTATGCCTTCCATGCTAGTGGTATTGAATTGGCTCAAGAAGTTGTGGTTACTTTAGTAATTGCTTGATGCTTCACCTACAAAGTTTTCATTATTATTTTGAATAAAAAAAAAATAAATGGTTTTTATAAAACAAATTTTTTTTTTTCTAGCAAAGAAACAAACAAATAACCATTGCTGTTCATAGAAATTATAAAAACTCCGATAGAATTTTTTGAGTTTAAAATTGACGGAACTCCAAAATCATTTGTTCATCCAAAAAGATTATTTTGCCACCACCACCACCACCATTGTATTCAGCAGAATTTATATCTCCTGGTGTAAATTCTTATTTATTTATTCCATTCACTGCAGATAATGATATACAGTAATTGCGGAAAATAATCTTGTAAATATTGGACTGAATAGCAAAATGATGAGGTTTGAAAAAAAAAAATCAATTAATTTAAGAGATTCTGTAGAAAATTTTAATGAAATTGTGGAATAGATTTGTGGACCAAGAAAGATCCAAATGTTGCATATTAATATATGTCAGCCAGTATCTTGCCTTATTAAAAAAAAATTTTAAAATTTTCAATTTCAATTGAACAAGCAGCAAGTATTTATTTCAATTTTCTATTAGAATTCTGTTAAAAATACAAGAGTTTAGAGCACCTTGTTTAAATAAATAAAGAAGAATATGTCAGTTATTTTAATTTGTACATATCTAATTATAAACATTTCAAAAGACTTTGATGTTTAGCATTTAAAATAATAATTTGGGAATTTCGGGATTTGGGCATGGGATTTGGGATTGGGATTTGCTCTTTTGGGTTTGAGCAGCAAGTATATTGGATGCGTTGTTATATAAAAAATGACCACAGAAAATATGGCAGAAAATCTTATCAAGATAACCAAAATGTAAAATAATGGTTTTTATTTATTCGTAAGAAAGATTTATCCTTCTTATGCTTCTTCTGCTAATATCATCTATCCTATTGAACAAACCATGCGTATGCTGGAAATGAAAAAGATAATACTTTGTTTACTCGAGATGATTTTATTAAAAGGATAATGTAATTAATTAATTATTAGTAAAATTAAAAATCCTCGCAAAAAATTTAAATTTTTTATTTTTGAATGTTAGTCATATAACTAATAAAGTAAATCTGAAAGTTATATTTTATTAATAACTTTCCTAGTTCCAAACCAACATTATACAACCTACAAATAAGCATTTAATGTCATATCAAGACTGTAAAATTTTATTGAGCAACTTATAGAGCAGTCAAATATTAATCCAGAAGAAAGACCAGAAGAATTTTCTGAAGTTTTTGAAGGAATTAATAAGCTGATTGAAGAAAATCAATGCTTTGGAAAATTTATCAACCAACTTCAAAAGCAAGCTCTGTATTAATCTAGGAGAAGGTCCAGAAAATTTTTTTGAAGAAATTGACAAGTTGATTAAAGAAAATGAATGCTTTAGAAATTTTATTAATAAACTCCAAAAGCGGTTTGGTATTAATCCAGGAGAAGCATTATCAAGAAAATGGAAAAATAATCAAGTTTTTAATGAGTCAATGAATATATATGAAACAATAAATCAGGAAATTAAAGTGAATTGGCCAGATATCAAAATGAAATAGAGCCACAATTAAAACAAGTAATCGAGTCACAATACAACGATTCAGTCAAATACAATGAATTAGTGCCAAAATACAATAAACTGAATACAGAAAACGAAAAACAAAATGATTTAAACAGATACAAACAAGTAATACTATAAATCGACAGAAAATGAAAATTTTGCAAATGGTTTAGCCAGATATCAATATGAGGTTAGCCAAAATACAAAGAACAAATTAAAATATGGAAATACAATGTAACGTTAATATGGATAAATGCAAACAGGAGATGAGGAATTTTGCAGTAAAAAAATCACTGATCTTGAAGCTGAAAGGGAAAAAGATAATAATAAAATAAAAAAATTAGAAAAAAAATTATTATTTTGAAAAAATAAAGATATTATTCAAGATTTAACTAATAAATAGAATAAATATCAGCAAGAAATTGAGCCCAAATACATAGAAAAAATCAACAGCTTAAATAATAATTTAGACAGACATCAACATGAAATCAATACCTTAAATAACAATATATCCTGTTCAAAAGCAAATTGTGGTAATTTAAATAATGATTATACTAAATTAAATCATGATAAAATTTATCAAGATAATAAAATTATTGAACTTATGACAGAAAATCAAAACAAAACTCTTTTTGTTAAAGATTTAGAAAAATCAAAACGAGGATTAGAGGCTATAAATGATCAATTAAGAAAAGAAGCCTCATCATATCAATTAGCTTTAGAAGATACATTATATTTCCATTTAAGTGATGAGAATAATTCAGCTCGACTTTCAACTGATATAAATTCTTCAGGATAAACTTGAGAAATATGTTATTACATTAAAAGGTTCTTTTATAAATATTGATAATGGTAAAATTCAAGAATTATATGGGAAACATAATCCAAATAATCCAAATATAAATGATAAAATTTCGATGAAAACAGTTTTACAACATCATGTTCTAGAAAAATCCTTGAATATATTGATAATTGTCTTGAAATTAAGGAAGATGATGATCTAAACAATCCTAATAATCAGGAAAAATGTATCATGTATCATACAAATAAATTAATATTTCTTCTTGACAAGTTTTTATAATAATCATTTTAAAGAAAGTAATAATGTGATTTATAGTATATTATGTGAATTTGGATTCTCTGAGAATAAGAAAAAGCAACATATGCAGCCATTTATATCATTTGCAGCACAAAACCTTAATCAATTAATGACAGGATATTGTTATATCAAGAACAATATTAAAAGAAAGAATATAGAAGATATGGCAGAAAACCTTATCAAAGATATAACTAGAATATTTAAATTTCGTTTATTAGTTCAAGAACCAAAATATGAAACACACTGGTTTAAAAATGATATAAAAATAAATCCTTTGATTTATGAAAGGACAATGGGATGATGAATGTTTGGATGATTATGTTGTGAATATATGTTATTTTCCTTTGAGTGGAATGGAATTGAATGATTTGAGTAAAAGTAAAGTCATGCAAAAGTTTTCCCTCGATCTATTGTAACCACCACCAGAAAAAATTAATGATTTGAATGATTATTTTGAAAACGTAAAACTTGACACAACTATTCTATATGATAATCTGCAAGACGCAGATTCTGATCCAGAAAATAATGATATCAAAGAAAATACGGGTAAAAGTAAAAAAAAAAAAAAGAAGACATACAAAAGGAAATTTAAAAAATAATATTTAACATCAACAAAATAATAAAATAATTTCTATTAAAAATTGACAATATAAAAATATATCTGTTCAATTTGTTTATTAATAATATTGTTTAATGTGCATCATCTCTTTTAGAAATATAATCAACAGCATCTTTAACTGATCTAATTTCATCAGCTTCTTTATCAGGAATTTCAATTGAAAAATCTTCTTCAATATTCATCACCACTTCAACAGTATCCAAACTATCAAGTCCAAGGTCATCAGCAAAATGTGCTTGAGTGGTTACCTTATTTAATATAATATAATGATTGAAATGATCGAATGATCATTATTAAATCAATTTTTTCTCATGGAATAAGAACTCCGAAAAATAAAAATTTCCCATTTTTTTCACATATCGCATAATTCTTTCTATTATTGTCATCACTAGTTACATACCTTTGAAGGATCAACTTTATCAAATGCTTTCAAAATATCGAGAATCCTAGCCTCAATATTTTCTCGGGTCAATGCTGACACATCAGAATAAAACCTCAAAAAAGAAGATGAATAAAATCCAAATGGATTAGTTTTTGTTTTTGTTATTTTTGTCATTGATGATGTGTCAAATTTTTTTGCATTTTGTTTAATGATGATATCTCTTGAATTTGTTGATGTTGGTATTATCAGCTGACGCTTTAATGGTTGATGAGTAAGATTATTAATTTTTTTATTTTTTAAAAGATTAATTGTGGGAAGTAACCGATAACTTTTAAACCTATTCATAATTAATTTATAATTTTATTTTTTGATGATAAAAAATTTTTGATAAAAATTTTTTGATCTTCAAAAATTTGTATAAAATAAAACAAGTCACCCAAATGATTTATAATTACAAAATAAAAATCCTTTTTTGTTTGTTTGTTTTAAAATCTAACGATTACTGCAAGAACATCGATATTAACAATATTTGCGAGATAGTCACGCACGGGGTCGATCTAGGAAAATTATCGTACAACACGTAATTGGTTTATTTCTTAAATTAGTATCTATTAACATGATTCGAAGCTATTAAGATCCATAATTATCAGTCATTATCTTTAAATTTTGAGAAGTATTTAAACATCTAAAGTATAATATAAAGACCGGGAAAACTCTATTGAATGTGACCGCCAACACTATACTTTTAAAAAAAATGTGACCTTCTCACCGTAAATTCGCATTAATAGAAAATGGAAAAGGTCACCTCTATATAACAATCTATTAAATAATAATAAAACAAAGCGAGCATATGGAATAAACAGCCAGAAAACTAAAAAAAAATCCAAACCCCACCATATTCCATTCATCACAAATGAAGTCAGTTCTGGTGTCATGACTGAAAGGAGTTCATTTGCAAGGTTGTACCTTGTGTGATTAGCATTGCGGCAAAAAGGAGGAAGGAGCTGAAGCAATGTTTGCGGCTGCATTGGTATCCCTTCCTTGTGTTGTATACTTTATCCTTCTTGCTGGGCATCGGGCAGGGATGAACACATTTTACTGCGCCATTGAGGCGAATGATACAATAAGGGTAATCTTTATCACTAGGTGATCTGATATTTCTAGAACAGAAAGCATAATCTATAGTTCGACAAAGGACATCTTGTGCCCACATAACTTCTTTTTTGAAAGACTTCTTCAAGGTAACTTTCTTTCTTTCATCTTGCACGGCAATATACAGTGTTCAAATGAGAAAAAACTAATGAGGAAGCTTGCATGGCTCTGTTGCTCATAAGGAACAGCTTTAAATCATCATTGACCTTTCTTTTTAGCATATAAAAGTCTAACGAAATTGCAAAATGATGGTTAGTGCATGCACATCTGATTTGACAGAAAAATTCAACCATTGATTTTTGGCACCGTAAGGGTACAAGCAATTACTATAAAACATTAGTACAATATTCAGCATGTTAAATGTTGTATGAAATGTTTATTCGGTTGACTTTTGCTAAATAAATTCTCATATAATATTCAATGAGCATATTTCTTATTGAGTAGCTCCCTCACGGTGCCAAACTTTGATGGCTGGCTGAACCTTGGCTGAATTTTTTTTTCGGTGTGATCAATTGTATTGTTTATATATGATGGGATTCTGCTTCAATGTAGTTAATATAGTTGAAAATTTGATATAACGAGAAAATCACAATTTCCTACGCCAATATCCTTTGGTTGTTCTCCATCTTCTCATAAGAAAAACTTAAATCATTCGTTTGATGATACTTTATGTTCTAATTAAACCAAAGTTATTGAATAGTTGAAATTTATCAATTCCAAATTTTGCTTGTAATCTTTATTAAAAAAGAAATATTGTTCTTGAACTTGGTAATAAAATGTGGTGTGATATCACGATAATCTATTACAATGCATAGTAGTAATAGTAAGTGAAGCCTTTGAACCAGAGATTTTTTTTTTTTTGCTTTTTTAATTCTAGATTTAATCGGATTATAGGGTTTGTAAAACTACTTTCTGCTTGATTTTGTGTTTTTCCCATCTTTTTATCTAAGAAATTCGTACGATGATCTGATCGAAAAAATTTTAAAATTAAAAATTTTTTTTTGATAAAAATTATGTTTCGCGCTTGTTGTAAATTACCATCAAACAATAAAATATTGTCTTCTCCTATTACCAGCTTGTTGATAAATCGTAAATATGCTGCCAGTCCTGCAATTTCTCCAATTACAGTCACAAAGTCAAAAACTGGAATAACAACTGTTTCAATTAAAGGTGAGGAGAAGGTTTATCTATATATGCTTTATTGATACACATATATTTTCATATATATATACACTTGATAATTTTTTGTTTGGTATGTGATATTTTTTAATTTGATACAATTATTGAGTACTTCCATTAATTCCTGGTCTAATTCATCTTTATATAATATAGTACATATTACAATCCTAAGCTATATGATTTTAATTTTATACGTATTGCACATGTATTTCCAATAAAGATAGCACACCAGCTTCTTCTGTTTCCTTAGTTGTAAAGGCTGGTCCTCGTTATGAGACCATTAATAAAATTGGTGCAGCGCATTATTTAAAAAATTTTGCTTTTAAGGTTAGGATTTTAATTAAAAAATAGATAACATGAATATAAATTTATATGATTTTAATTTCTTTAAATGATAGAACACCACAAATAAAACCGCTTTTCGTACAACACGTGAAACAGAATTGCTTGGTGGTGTGTTAACAGCCAATTTAACAAGAGAAAATTTAATTCTTACTGCAGAATTTTTGCCAGATAATCTGTATGTAAATCTTTTTTCATATAAAATTGTAAGATTTTTATTTATTTTATTTATTAATTGTTTGGAAAAAGATTTATCAATGATAACAATCAATTAGTAATAATAATGATTAAATTTTTTTCACTATCTCCTTTTGATAATTATAGTGAATATTTTTTGGGTGTATTATCTGATGTAATTTTCAACACAAAGTATGAACCACATGAATTTAAAGAAGTGAAACAAAGCGTTGCATTTGAGAGAAGTGTTGCAGAAGCAACTCCAGAAGTTTTGGCATTAGAAGCAGCACACGAAGCTGCATTTCGTGATGGACTTGGAAATCTACTTTTTGCAAATTCCACCACAAAAATCAAGAGTAATGAAGATGTTATCGCATATGCTAATAAAGTTTACACAGCTCCAAATATCACTATTATTGGTACCGGTGTTGATCATGATGAGTTGACAACTTTAACAGAAAATCTATTTAAAGATATAAGTCATGCAGTACCAGCTACACCAATCGCTTCCAAATATTTTGGTGGTGAGGTTAGATTGGCTAATGGAAATGATCTAAATCATTATATACTTGCATTTGAGGGCGCACCAGCAGGAACACCTGATTTTTATACTCTTCAGATTCTTAGATCATTATTAGATGGAGATAAACACACAAAGTGGGGTGATGGTGTTACTAAACTTTCTCAAACAGCAAGTAAACTTGATACTAAAACCAGCATTTTCAACACAGGGTATTCAGATGCAGGTATTTTTGGTGTATACTACTTGGCAGCTAAACCAACATCAATATATTCAGCTGCTCGTGCTACTGTTGAACAGTTACAACATGTTGCAAAAGGTGTCGATAAAGATGAATTCCAAAGAGCTTTTGCAAAAGCAAAATATAGCACTGCAATTTCTTATGATACACGTTATTCTAAAACTGTGATCTTGGGCAGTCAGGTATTATAACTATTTACTTGTAATTAATTAATTATTCAATTAATTGATTATATTTAATTATTATTTCTTTAGGTATTATCCTCTGCAAAAATTGTTTCTGCTTCCGAAGCAGTATCGGAATATGATCATATCAAAGAAGCAGATGTTACAGAAGTAATTATTAAAAATATATCATATTTTGATAATTAAATAATAATGATGATGATAATAACTTTTTTCCTATTGAAATGTGTATATAATTAATTATAGATTGCCAATAGAATTTTGTCAAGTAAACCTACTGCAGTGGCACTTGGAGACGTAGCTACCTTACCATATGCTGATTCTCTATCTCTTTGATTAAAATTCTGTTATTAAGATGCGAATTCAAATTCATATTTAAATTAAATAAATAAATTATAAAGACAAGTAGAAATAAATTATTACTTAATATTCCTCGGGTTATATGAGATCATTGCATTAATAAACCAATATCAGCTCCATCCCATACTTTTAAAGATGATGATT